GGGAAAGAGCAAGTGATTACTTGAGATCTTATATTGTAATCAGCCTCATTTAGTTTGTTTTCTCTTGCTTTATTTAGTAAAAGTGAGGATTTTCTAAGGGAAAAGGACCTGATGGTGGCTGTGGATTCCTTCCTGAAGCCCCAAACTTCACTCAGGGCCAGAGAGACAGGGTGGAAGGAACCAATAATCTGAATATTCATTTAAAAAAAAAATAATCCTATTAGCAACACGATGTAGCTTCTAGTTAATCCAGTTACAACATGGATTGTGTGCTTACCTTTTTCCTGACACACAGCTCTCTAAGATTTCTGAAGCTCTGCAGAAGGACCTGAGTTAGGAACCCAGAAGGCTGCTGTGGATGAAAGCAGAAGCTTGTTTGTTTGTTTTGCTCTGGTTCTGTGTCATTCCACTTCCCTGTTTTCCCTTGCTGAAAGGGGAGCTCTGCAGCTAAAAGCTCATCTCTATTACTGCAGGTCAGACTTTGTAGGGCAGCAATTTCACTTAAAATACAGTCATGTTCCTGCAAAACCTTTTCATTTGACTGAGTTTCTAGAAGGGAGCAGGGTGTTTCAGCTCTGGCCACCTGAGTGGTCTCACCTTCCCTCCTTACTTCAATTAGCAGCCATCAGAGGTTGACTGAAGGACAGCCAGATGCACACAAATACATGGAGAGGAAACAGCTAAACCAACCCACTGAGGGTTTTTGTGGTGTTTTTTTTTTTCCCTTTTCTGCAGCAAAATCTACTGCATAACCCTGCCAGATGGATTGCTCCACAGATTGTTCTTCTCTAGAGGCATGAATAAAACTACCTCTTGCTCCTTTGCTGATGAGCTCAGCTGCCAGTCTTGGGGGGGAAGTTAAATAATCTTTTAGCACTCCATATTTTCTTGCAAGGCTAACCTTGTCTGCTCCCTGCAGAGCCTGTCACAGGGAGAATGTGGATGGGTTTGTTCTGCAGTTATTGGCCTTGGGTTGCTTAACAGAAAAGAACAGTTCTTATTATTTCCAGCCTGTTGGAATAGTTGGCTAATGGAGTATCATCCCTGCAGTGCCATCAGAGGAGCTGCCTTCTTGATCGGGAGAGGTTTCCCACCTGGTGTTTGCTGTAGTACTGACACTTGTTCCCGTTTTGTAACCAAAGGGAAGGGAAAACCATCTCAGCTCAATGCCTCTCATGTTCCTGTGGCACACACAGGTATCAGGATGTCACTTGTCCCCAACAGTGTCTCCACAGCCTGCGTGGTGTTGCAGTAGGAAGGCAAGGAGGAGCCCAGCTTTGAGGCATGTGTTGAACAGGCTGGGGGACACAAAGCTTAGTCTTCTGCTCCTGCATTCCTGGTGGGTGGCAGATGATGGTGCCTCACTTAACCTACTGTCCTCCTTCCCTTGCAGTCACCATGCAGCAAGTGGCCAGGACAGTGGCCAAGGTGGAGCTCTCTGACCATGTGTGCGACGTGGTGTTCGCGCTCTTTGACTGCGATGGTGAGTGACCCCAACCTTCCCCCCTCAGCCAGGGCTTGCAAGGCTAACCTTGTCTGCTCCCTGCAGAGCCTGTCACAGGGAGAATGTGGATGGGTTTGTTCTGCAGTTATTGGCCTTGGGTTGCTTAACAGAAAAAAACAGTTCTTATTATTTCCAGCCTGTTGGAATAGTTGGCTAATGGAGTATCATCCCTGCAGTGCCATCAGAGGAGCTGCCTTCTTGATCGGGAGAGGTTTCCCACCTGGTGTTTGCTGTAGTACTGACACTTGTTCCCGATTTGTAACCAAAGGGAAGGGAAAACCATCTCAGCTCAATGCCTCTCATGTTCCTGTGGCACACACAGGTATCAGGATGTCACTTGTCCCCAACAGTGTCTCCACAGCCTGCGTGGTGTTGCAGTAGGAAGGCAAGGAGGAGCCCAGCTTTGAGGCATGTGTTGAACAGGCTGGGGGACACAAAGCTTAGTCTTCTGCTCCTGCATTCCTGGTGGGTGGCAGATGATGGTGCCTCACTTAACCTACTGTCCTCCTTCCCTTGCAGTCACCATGCAGCAAGTGGCCAGGACAGTGGCCAAGGTGGAGCTCTCTGACCATGTGTGCGACGTGGTGTTCGCGCTCTTTGACTGCGATGGTGAGTGACCCCAACCTTCCCCCCTCAGCCAGGGAAGAAATAGAGAGGTGTGGGGGGGGGGGGGGGGGGGGGGGGAAACCCACCAGTTTTTATTGAGCTGTTGTGCTCTGGTGTTGGAAAGGAGCCAGTCTGGTTACTTGATCTCCAAAGTCCTGGATGAATATCAGCTTAGTTAATGACAGGCAGCTCTGTGTCCTGCTGGAAAGCTCCTTGCTGTGCTGGCCCCCCGAATATCTGAGCACTTAGGGGTGGCTTGATGCCACACAGGAGCTGCCTTGGGGTTGATTGAATGAGGATGAGTGGAGTCTTTGCCAGCAGGGGATGATGGCAGCAGCTCAGGCTTGGAAAGCAGCAAAATTCTGCCTTTGACCAAAGTTATCACACCAAAACCAGAGGCCATGCTTGGCCCCCTCCTTCTCCAGCACAGCCCACCAGGATCTGGCAGCTCTCAGCAGCAGGGATGCATAAATAGACAGTTGTTTGCTTTCTGGTGGAAACATGAACCTTAAAAAGCCCCCAATACTTAATTATTTTATTCCTTGTTGTCCCTCTTGGTTTCAGTCCCACCTTCTTCAAGGAGCCTTTCTAAGGTTGCACCTTGGTTAATTTTCCTCTGTGCTTCAGTGCCACTTTGTGATATGATCCTCAGGCCAGATTGTCAGGGTGGAGATGAAAGTGAATCCAAGTGTAGCCAAATATTCTCCTTTTGTGTTCCCTCATAGGAGAATCTGCTAAGTATTTTCAGAGCAAACATTTGGGGGGAAAGACTCTGCTTGTCAGGGGACTCCCAAGTAAGGAATCAGGCCCAGACCTTTTGTGTGTGCATGTTTTCACTCATCTGATGTTTGTAGACACTACCATGCACACATCAAATACCTGCAGCACCAGAGGGAATTTTACTCACCCCTTAATAGTCTTTTGGAATTTCACTGCCCAGGTTTGCATTTAGGTGTAAGGCAGGAAGGAAAAAAAGGCTCATAATGAAGAAACTCATTAATGAACCGTGTGTCTCCCTGTAGCAGCCAGAGAGATTCTGTCTCCTTTGATCTGGGGCTCTCTGGTGGCTTTGGGCTGATGTCCCTCTGGTTGGTTCTGTGTCCAGAGGTTTGCTGCTCCCTAGAAGCAAAAGCCAGTGCAGTCAGCATCCCATAATTTCCTAAACCACTTAAAACAGGAAGTCCCCTTTGGGTGCCTGGCTATTGGCTTTGCATTTGTTTTTCTGCCTTCAAGACCCAGCACTCCAGGCCCTGCAGGATGTGGTGGTGCCAGAAGAAGCAGGGCAGCACCCAGAGGTTTGGGGTGTCCATGCTGTGGTTCAGCCCTTGCTCAGCAGCACCTCTTGGGAGGCTGAAGCCAAACATGATTCCAGTCCCCCCAAGAAATGGGGTGGGGCTGATAACCTTTAAAGCAAGCACACCTTGTGGAGGAGGTGGCTGGTGGGTTTTAAGAGTTTCTAATGATGTTGTTTTCCCTTTTTGCAGGGAATGGTGAGCTGAGCAACAAGGAGTTTGTGGCCATCATGAAGCAGCGCCTCATGAGAGGCCTGGAGAAGCCCAAGGACATGGGCTTCACCAGGCTGATGCGAGCCATGTGGAAATGTGCCCAGGAGACAGCATGGGACTTCACCAACCCCAAGCAGTAGCAGGGCCTGGGAGGAACTTCCCTCTCTCAGCCTTGCAGACACCTCTGCTGTGGACACCAGTGCGCTGGCTCCAGGCTCTGGCCAGCCCAGACTCTCCCCAACTGGAGATTTTTGTCAATGGAAGTTAGAAATCCAAGCCTGTTTCCATTTGCAGCTTCTGCTTGCTGCCTGCCCCCCTTCATCTTTCTCTCAGGAAAAGGAGTTTTACTGCTACCACCTCTGCTTCATGATGGGCCCTGCCTGCAGAGCTGGGCATCAAGTGATGTAGCCAAATCACTTTTATGGAATGTTACTGCAAAAGGGCATGGCATTCCTTTTAATTCTTAAGATTGCTCGTAAGGAAGAAGCCATAGGATTCCTTTATAGATGGTACTGGTGGGATTTAGGAGCAGAGGCTGCAGCAGCTGAGTGGTGAGACAGCACCCCAGGATTTCCGTTGGCCGAAATGCTCTGTGCTCCCCCAGACTGTTGTAGGGTGGAGGGGAGGGGTGCACCAGCACAGGAGCTTGTGTAACAGCAGTGAAAAGCAGTGGAGCAACTGGGTCTCCTGCCTGTCATGCAGGTTTCAAATTACTCTGTTGGTTTTTTTAAGAGGGGAATTGCTGTTCTGTCATGGGAACGGGGGCTGAAAGGTGTTATTCCTGTAAAACATGGTGTAAAGGTGTTGCTCACAGTGACATGGCTGGTGGCTCTTCTCTTCTGGTTGCTCCAAGGGGGTGGCAGGCCACAGTAGGCAGGGTGGTTTGGAAGTGGGAGTAACATGATGAAATTCTCTTCTTCGGCACAAAATCATTCCTGTTGTTCCTGGAGTCTTTGGGCTCCATCCTCCCCTGAGCCCCTTTAACCCCCTCTTTAGTCCCCCCAACTCCCCTCACTCCCTTTACTGTCTTCAGCCCAGCTCCCTCTGTCCCCCTCAGCCCCTTTAGCTGCCCCCTCAGGTCCCCTCAGTCTCTTCACCCCCTCCTCAGTCCTCCTCAGCCCTTTTCCTGCTCCCCCAGCTCCCCACGGCCACCGCAGGATCCCCTTGGCCCCTTTAATCCCCCTCCTCAGTTCCCTTTCCCACTCTCCCTGCTCCCCTCAGCCCCCTGACAATCCCCTCAGCCCCTTTTTCCCCCTCACTCCCCTCAGCCCCTTTATTCCCCTCACTCCCCTTGTCTCTTTATCCCCTTGACCATCCCCTCAGCCCCTTTATCCCCTTCCTCGGCCCCCTGACCATCTCCTCAGCCCCTTTTTCCCCCTCACTCCTCACTCCCCTCAGCCCTTTTATCCCCCTCCTCACACCCCTCTCCCCTCACTCCCCTCAGCCCCTTTATCACC